TTTAAGATTTTATTTATTTACTTGACAGAGAGAGAGATCACAAGTAGGCAGAGAGGCAGGCAGAGAGAGAGAGGAGGAAGCAGGCTCCCCGCTGAGCAGAGAGCCTGATGCAGGGCTCGATCCCAGGACCCTGAGATCATGACCTGAGCCGAAGGCAGAGGCTTTAACCCACTGAGCCACCCAGGCGCCCCACCTCCATGGTTTCTGATGAGAAATCAGATGTCAATCTTATTGAGGATCTTTCTACCCCATGAGAGGCTGCTTCTTTGCTGTTCTCAAGGTTCTTTGTTTTTGTCTTCTGACGTGTGTCTAGGTGTTTATCCTATCTCTGAGCTTATTCTCTTTGGAGTTTGATATACATCTTGGACATACAGATTAATGTTTTTCATTAAAATTGGGAAGTTTTCTGACACTTTTTTCAAATATTCTTTTTTTAAGACTTATTTTTTTTTAAAGATTTTATTTATTTATTTGATGGAGAGAGATCACAAGTAGGCAGAGAGGCAGGCAGAGAGAGAGGAAGGGAAGCAGGCTCCCTGCTGAGCAGAGAGCCCGATGCGGGGCTCGATCCCAGGACCCTGAGATCATGACCTGAGCCGAAGGCAGCGGCTTAACCCACTGAGCCACCCAGGCGCCCTTAAGACTTATTTATTTATGATTGGGAGAGAGAGAAAAGAGAGAGAAGGGGGAACAGAGGGAGAGGGAGAGAAGCAGACTCCCCATTGAACCCATGTGAGGCTTGATCTCAGGACCCTGAGGTCATGACCAGCACCATAATCAAGAGTCAGACGCTTACCTGACTGATGCACCCAAGTGCCCCTCAAATATTCTTTAGTGCACTCTTTCCTCTCTCTCCTCTCCTTGTGGGACTCCTGTAACATGTATGTTGGTATGTTGGATGATATCCCACAGATTTCTGGGGCTGGGTTCATTTTTCTTCAATCTCTTTCCTCTGTTTCCTTCAAAGTGGATCATCCGAATTGATCTTTCTTCAAGTCAAGATGCTTTCTCCTGCCTGCTCAAAACTGTTGTGGAAACATGGGGGTGAATTTTTCATTTTAGTCCATGTTTTTCTCAACTCTAGAACTCCTTTCTGATTTTTTTTATCATTTCTTTCTTTTTACTGATATTGTCCATTTGGGGAGATAACATTCTCAAAATTTTATTTCATTATTTAGACATGGTTTCATTACCTCTTTAAATATATTTAAAATAGCTGATTTAAAGTCTAGCTAGGAGGGGCTCCTGGGTGTCTCAGTCAGTTGAGCATCCAACTCTTGGTTTCAGCTCAGGTCATAATCTGAGGTCAAGCCCTGGGTGGGGCTCCCTGCTCTGTGGGGATTCTGCTTCTCCCTCCCTCTCCCATCCCCCCTGCTTGTGTTCCTCCCCCATCAAATAAAATAAATGCAATTTTAAAAAGAGATTTATTTATTTGAGAGAGAGAGCAGTGCCAGTGGACAGGGAGCGGCAGAGGGAGAGGGAGAAGGAGAAACAGACTCCCTGCTGAGGGCAAAGCCTGAGGTAGGGCTCCATCTCACGACCCTGAGATCATGCTCTAAGCCCAAATCAAGAATCAGAGGCTTAACCAACTAAGCCACCCAGATGCTGCTCAATGTTCCTTTATATATATAGGCAAAGACACACCCGCACTCATATTCTATTGCAGTCATATTATACACTCTGTTGATTTTTTTATTGAACAATATAGCCTGAAACTTTCCAAATTTGTACACAGAGAAGCATCCTCACTCTCTTTTCAGTATTACATTATATGGACAAGCCATAATTTCTTTAACTAACCTCCCACTGATGGTCATGCAGACTTTCTCTACTCTTGCTACTTCAAAGAGTGCTGTAGTGAATAATCCGGTTTTTGAAATGTGATGAGCTTGGACCTCGGTGAGGCTGGGTTGGCAGGCAGAGGCCATGAGTATCCTCACTGTGCTCAGAGGCCTGACAGGCATGACTTGCTGACTCCAAGATTCACCACACAACCACCACCCCCCCAAACACCCCGTGGTGAGATCAGATCATTTTCTGAGCACCGGCGATGGATCACCACACGCCACCATCTGAGGAGGTCACCAGACTTGGGAAAATCCAACATAGTCCTGCTAAGAGAATCACTTCAAGGAATCCCCAAGCTTGTTCAATGAAGGGAAGAGTAATGACTGTAATTAGCCAAGTGCACAACTGGAAGGAATTAAGCACATTACAGAAGTGACTCAGCGGCCTCTGACTGGAGACAGCCCGACCCCGCCCACGAATCACGCCTGCCCATGCTTGCAACACGCTTCTCAAAGGCATATTATTTCTCTTTTTCACATTAATTTTCTGTCAACATACTGCCGCATATGGACATTAGCGACAGAAGCCAAACTGTTGGTTTGGCTTTTTTTCTATTTTTAAACTGAGATAAAATTGATACGGAGTAAAAGGCGCAGATCTTAAGCTATGTCACCAGTTTGTATAAATGAATGCAGAACAATTTCTTTCCCTCCAGAATGTTCCTCCATGCCCTCTTCCCAGTCACCCCCCACCTTGCCCCGGGCAACTGTTCTAAGACAATTTTATTAAGGAAAAACAGCTAATTCTACAACAGGGATGGGGAAGTAGCAAAGCGTGAATCAAAAAAGGGCGGGTAATTCATTCTCCTGTCCTTAAATTCTTGAGTTAGTGTCCTTAAATTCTCAGCCACTTCTCCCATTACATCCAGTGGTGTACTGTAGTTAGGAGCCAACTCGTCTTTTTATATCTAATACATTGTAAACCATCCTGGTTGCTGAGTATGTATCTGACTTTGTTCTCCCTCAGCCACTGGATACTTACTTAAAACTTTTTTTTGTGGGGGGGCACCTGGGTGCTTCAGTCGATTAAGAATCTGCCTTCAGCTCAGGTCATGATCTTGGGGTTCTGGGATTGAGCCTCACCTTGGTCTCCCTGCTTAGTGGGGAGTCTGCTTCTCCCTCTGTCCTTCCCCTGGCCCTACTCAGGCTATCCATCTCTTTCTCTCTCTCTCTCTTTCATTCTCTCTCAAATAAATAAATTAAATATTTTTTTAAAAATTTTAATTCATCTGTATTTAGAGTAATTTCTAGCTTTGGGCCCCCAGTTCATAGATTAAAGAAGCAGCAACATGCTGGAAACTGGAAGCTGTGAACAGAGCCAAATCG